CAATAAAACACACATCGCTTAATAATTTGGGCATAAAAGTCGTTGTTTCTTAAAATTTGTACAATTGTAGATACATTAAAGGAGATATAACAGTGATGAGTTTTATTTTATAGACACTTGCTCCGTACTTAGAAAAAAAAGTACTGATCAAGTGTCTTTAAAATAAAACTTAGAAGAATTAATTGAAATGTATCCAGTAGTTTTTCCGTGATTTGCACAGAGCAGCAGACCTTTATAATGTTTATTTATATATAATGGATTTATATACATTGAATCTTATTTAACACGGTAAGAAAAACACACATTACTGAAGAAGAAGACCTTATAGAAATGGATGTTTCTTATAACTTTAATAACTTTATATTAAACGAAGATATTATAATGATTTTTTGATTTTCAATTTTTAGTGCGTCTCTTTACTTAAAAATATATAAATTTTTAAGTTACGTCTTAAGTGCTAGAGACTGGGACTGAAAAATTGAAAAATAAATTTCAATAGCAAAATTTTGTATATCTCTCATTTTCAAATATTCATTGTTAAAATGTAATTTGAAGAAAGTGCGATTTATTCACGTTGTTTTTTTGTATTCATGGTGTATCGTTATCACGTTAGATGACGTCAAGCATTGCTAAAAATACAATAAAAAAAAGTACTTAAGACGGCGAATATTCGAACATTGAGAATGCAAGCCCCCTAGATCAGCGGCTATAGCGTCAGGACGCGATAACTGGAAGGCACTGGTTCGAACCCTGGTAGCAGCGAAAATTTTTGAGACGGTTCTGTATACACAATTTAAAACGTTGTGTTCCACTGTAGATAAAGGCCTAAGATATTAAACTTAGGGAATTTAATTAAAGTCAGTCCCGTAGTTCATGATGCATGAATAATAGCTAGGATCTTTATCATTTTATTTGTATTAAAGAAGAAACACTGTGACAATGACATCACTGAAACACTGACATCGTGACCTCGAGCGGCCTCTCGTACTGGCCATCGCAGTGTGGTACGACCCCACACCCACTAGACGGAGTGACGACCTGTGCAAGTGTGTGGGAAGCCGTTGGATGCAGGTGGCTCAGGATTGTGCTTCGTCGTAGTCTGTAGTGGAGGCCTATGTTCAGCAGTGGAAACAAACAGGCGGAAATGATGATGACATGTAAACAAACAACGCCTCAATACTGGAAACTCAGTACCGGTGTAAACCAAGTCGAGTGATTTGATTGCTAAATAACGACCATAAGTGTGATGGTACAAGTCAGATTGTTCTAGAAATGTCGGCAATCATTTAATTTATTCCCATTAAGGCCCCCTGCTGACGCAATAGGGGAGCGAATTGCCATGCAGTGTGTTCGTAATCAACCTTTTTATACCAACAATTGAATAAGTATCTCGAATGTACGGCCAAATAATGACTTTGTAATTTTTATTCAACTAAGTAGACTGTCACGAATAATTCATTTTTAAACAAGCTTAATTTACTTTTTGTTTAAAATATGAATACAAAAAAAAATCCAACCGCTTTTAAAATGTTATAAGGTATTTTATTACATGACGCGTTTACAAAAAATCCAAATTTTAAAATGCATAAGTTTAACATGAACCTACTTAAAAGGAAGCAAAGAAATTAACTTTGAAAAATTAAAAATATTAAACAGCATTATTAATTTATGATATTGTAAATGAATTTAATCAAAATGGTACCTTAATACTACAAGCAATTTGATAACCTAAAACACGTACATTAATTACAATGAATTACGATTTTATAGAAGACTTTATAAAGAATATGTAAACAAAAAATTACATCTGTAAATGTTGTAAAGTTAGGGCACATTACAGATGTAACTAAATTACATCTGTAATTTGCCGTAACTGGAGGTACTATGTAGCTAGAGGTACTATCAAAGTGTAACATAGGTTGCTGGTTAGGAAACATCAATAACATCAACGAATTTCTGTGCAAAGGGACTACGTTTATTTAATTACGATCGACAAAGTAAATGAGAAGCCATAACAGTCGTAACCGTTACGAAACGGAATAAGTAGTAATCTCGTGACGCATCGGTTTCCAGACCCGGTGTGCGCAAATCATATTGTATTTTGCGCAGTAAATCTACCATTTACAATCCACTTCGCATCGAACAAAACTTATCTTTGACTAAAGGAAGGGTTCTTAAATCGTTAGGTTTTTTAAATTTTTTATGGTGCTAATCTCTGCACTTAAGATAGAACGTTAAATTTGTAGATAAAGTACGAAAAGATTGTCGCCGCTGTGGGGATCGAACCCACGTCTTCGGCATTCGCGGCCTGACGCTCTAGCCACTGAGCGAAACGGCTGATAGCCACACCGACGAAAATCTTAACGTCTTTTATCTACATTGTCTTTTTAGCATTTGAAGCAATGCTTGGCGCATCCATTGTTATATCCTTTCCAGCATACAAACAATTTCGAATATAGTTTTACACAATACAACAATTTCTAATTTAGTTTTTTCGTTAAGTTTTGTCAAATTAACATCCAAGCGGTTACCGAGTACGATTGCTGCTGTTGAGACATATGTACATACGTACGTCGTTTGGTTTGTTATTAGACGAACAGAAGGTCATAACCGCCTTTCTCTACCACACGTTAGTTCCATGAGAGATTTGTTGCTTTTTAGGGTTCCGTAACTTAAAGGTAAAAAAGGGACATTCAAAAAATCACTCTCTTGTCTGTCTGTGTGTCGGTATTGACTCAGGACCTTCATTTTCATACAACTAATAAGGACTTTATATCTGGCATAAATTTCTGGTATAAATTTCAACTAGCTAGGTCCACCCGTCCCTGAATAAATGTGGTGATGGCGGTGGTGATTATTTACCAATTTTATTATGGAACGGAGCCCTCGGCGTACGAGTTCGAGTTCTGGTATTTGATCAGTTTTTTTTAAGTTTTGCAAAAACAAACGCATATCTAACCTTCCTTTATCAAGCAAAACAAACAAGAAAGCTACGAACTTATAAATTAAAGGACTGAAATTAAATAAAAATATTTACTGAATTATTGCATTCACCGCACTGTGCATGTAGCATTTATTATAATTATATAATATTGTGACTTTTAATTTAGTTGTTTATCCTTCTTTTACTTAAAACATTGATGCCTAATAATGAACGCAATCGCAGACTTGTGTAGTCTACCTGTTGCGTTCCGTTTGTTTACATTCTGACGGCTGTGCGAAACTCGAAGAATTCTCTGGAACATTACGCGTGCGAAGAACTTCAAACCGTGACTTTAAAGACATAAGTCTCTTAATTCTTCAAAGCGACACCACACGTGTTTTAGTTTTGTTTCGAAATACGAATACTGGTCTTTCTAGAAACCGGCCTGTACGATCGAAAGGCGACATAAGGAATTAAGACCTTATTTTTTACGTGGTACGGCAAAATCTTAGCTGGATGAAAATATTTGGACGTTCAGTAACGTTGGCATCTTAGTTGTGATCCTATTAGTGTTAACTGTTAACGACAAATTTAACGGTATATCGTCGCTGTAAATATTTTCAAACTTTTGTATTTAGCCTTGTCTTATATATATGGAATCATCAGCATAAGGTAATACAACAAAAAAAAAAACAGGCTAACATCAGCGACGCTAACGGATCGTATAATGAAATTATGATGAAAAGAAAAATTTTTCCACAAAAGTGGCAGGTATTGAATAAGCCACCGTACTGTAAATACGAGATGGTGTTTTCTACATATAAATCTAAAAAAAAAAACAGAAAATCACAAATGTCACATATCCACACGACATTATTATAAACCACAAAAAAATATAATCAGTCCAAAATGTTATTTTTTTTTAATGAATTGAGACGCTTCATATTTCATTATTGGTGTATACCATACGAAATCGTTTGAATCCATTTTAAAAAGAAAGTACGCGACATTTTCAAGCAACATATAACTCCTGGCAAACACATGAGAAAATCGTTATTTAATAGCTTGACGCGTTGCTATAAAAACAATAACAGCACTGACCTACACATTCGTGATTGCTTCTGCTAACGGTACACGCCCACAAAGACAGCTGGTGTCCCGAGATCGGGCATACGTACACACAAGCACGCGTCTAAACAAGATCCCCGTTCATGGGTCTTGAAACGGAGGAATGAGATGAATTGTATAAACAACAGTACATGACGTTTCATCATGTACTGTTGCTTTTCTAAGCTCAACGTAACGTAACGTACATTGATATATGGTTTAGAGAAATTATTGATTTTCATTTTCAGCAATCCATAGATCTTCTGCACATCTGATGATTATTTCCTTGTTCACGAATTATTTAATGTAATGAAATAACTGAGACAAATGTAGTAGTAAAGTATAAATAAAACTTGGAATTTTTGATTTATTTTTAACTTGCTGATCCTGCAAACGTTGTTTTGTGGAATTTCGTAAAATCCGTAATTCTTAGCTGACCTCTACTCAGTGAAAGGAATATTCCTACTAAATTTCAAGTCTCTACGCCTTATGGTTCCAGAGATATCGTGATGAGTCAATTATTGGTGCAAATCTCTTATATACATAGATTTAGTATTTTTAAAGTAATAGAACATGTTATTTAATTGCTGGAATGTTAAATTTCAAGGCAAAAGTCCTTGGCATTGCTGTTATGAATACATTTCAGCAAGATAATGCGAACAACAACATAAAAATAAAAGGTCAATACCCGGAGCCTTGTGGTAGCGTCTATACAAAGCGTGACGGATGATTTCGATAAAAACAGACCCACTTTTCAGTATGAGTCAGCTAGCGGCGACAGGTAAACAACGGACCTACGCGAATGATTTCACTTTCCCGCAACTGTTCGCGACCCCTGACTGTTACCGCTGCGCTTGCCGTGAATGAAACGCGCAGTACATTCTCGAACCTGCGCTCTGAGGCTATATAAAGCGGGCTGGGTGGCCGGCCCCGCATTCTATTCGAACGCATCGCAAGTGAACACACAAAAATGTACAAGTACGCGCTTGTTCTACTCAGTGCCGCCGCCCTGGTCTGCTGCGACGACGCGAGGAAGCAGAAACACGTCGACCCGTTCGCCGCTCTGGACCGGCACATTAGCCACTCGCTCGCCTTCCACTACCTATGGCCGTGGAGTCAGCTCATGCGCGCCGCCGCCGCCCTAGATGTCGAGGAGAGCCTAGAAGAGCCCAAGATCGTCTCGGAGCCGGACCGCTTCCAGATAATCCTCAGCGTGAAGCGCTTCAAGCCGGACGAGTTAAAAGTGAAAGTGAAGAACCGCTACATAATAGTCGAGGGAAAGCACAAAGAAGAGGACGACGAGAAGCGCTTCACGGCGAACCATTTCGTGCAGCGGTTCGTTCTGCCCCCAGGCAGCAAACCAGAGGAGGTAACGGCGGTGCTGAAGGAGAACGGGAAGCTGTCGATTAGCGCGCCGAAGCACGAGCTGCCGCCGCCGCCGCCGGAGCGAGACGTCCCCATCGAGGTGTTGGCCCCCGAGGTGAAGACGGAGAGAATTGGGGCAGCCGAAACCTCGACTTCGAAGGAGGTGCTGCCTCTGCAGACGTCGTCGGCGTCGCCGCTGGACCTCGAGGCGACCACGCACCTCGGGAAGATCAGGAAGAAGGAACTCAAGGAGACAGCGAAGACCGCGAAGGACAACGAAGTCACCAAAGGGGGGGACGGCAACGGGTTGGACTACGCGTTGATAGAGGCGGAAGAGTGACGTGAAATCATGAGGATAAGAAGACTGATATAAAGCTTTAATTGCCGCGGAAAGTGAACTAAAAGCGATTCAGGTCCGTGCGGTGTTGCAGTTTGTAGTATAGGTTTATTAAGGTTGTTTGTTATCGACAATAAAATCGTTATTTATTATACACGTAACAGTTTTCGTTTAATTTCCTCCTTAATAATGTTATTTGTAATATTTTTTAATATAATGACAAAATCCGTGGTAGGTTACATACATATTTTGTTATTTATTTATTTATTTATTTATGTTATATGTTACATGTTTCGCGCAGGATCTACCACGCACTTTTTAAACTATTTAGTACAAAAAATATTTAATTCCGTGATATAAAGATAAAAATAGTACAGCGAAACATAATTTTTTTATTACACTTTTACGTATTATTGTATAAATGGTTACATACAGGAACATATAACAAAATAAAAGTAATTAAAATGAACAACTGGTAGCGATATTATTCTATTTTACGAACTATTTATTTTATGTTAATAGCAATTATAACAGATGGATATTCCAAACAAGAAGCTGGGACATATTTCAATATGGACACTTAAGCATGTATAGGTACATACGTATACAGTAATTTAAAACAAACACTATTCAATAATATATAATCATTATAAATAAACAAATATTAATAAATGAAAATATAATAAATATATAAATAAACAAAACCTCAGTTGAACGGAAACCCTACACGGGGCAGACAGTTAAGGATTATTTTATTATTATTAAATAATTGTTGTATATTTAATTTTAAGCCATTTATTACTTCTAGCAGATCACAATTTTAATTTAAACTGCTGCCCATGACCGTGAGTGCTGTAAAGTATTCGAAACGACGGGAATTTTAAATAAATCTCTCATAGATCCTATATATATATTTTTAATTAAAATACTCATTTTAAAGTATTAAGTTCATAGTCATAACTTATACGTTTTTTACATTAAAACCATAATGTCTACCATGGCATAACGTTGATATATTAACTCATAATTTATAACTATAACATACTAATTTTAAACACAATGTTAGAAAACTATGGTTCACTTTCTCAGGTAGTTACCGAAAACTATTCTCGTCTTACTACTGAAGTGTTATATGACAGAATAACAGGAAGTTTCACAAATACGCTCTCATCATAATGTTCCTTGCGCTGCCTGCGTGAGGATTTTTACGATCGGCTGATCCAGTATCCGCAGATCACAAAAGTATTTAAGATCGAACCCAATACCTCTGGTGCTGAAGTCAGATTATCAACTGCTACCGAATCATCGAATTATGAAATTTGTCCTTATATATATTTAACCGACTTCAAAAAAGGAGGACGTTCTCAATTCGGCTGTATTTTTTTATGTTTGTTACCTTAGAACTTTCGACTGAGTAAACCGATTTTCATGATTCTCTTTTTATTTGAAAGCTGGTGCTGCCCATGTGGTCCCATATTAATGTCATTGGTATTGGATTTTGGGCTGCGAAGATAATTAGGGAACTCTATGAAAATCAATTTTAAAATGAATACAGACCGAGATATGTGAAGTCGTCTTTTTTTTCGTTAATAAAACAAAATTGTATCCTTAACCTTAGGCCGTCACTTACTTTGATGACTCCGTGGCGCAGTCGCCAAGGTATTTGCTTCGGCGTCGCTGGTCGCGGGTTCGTTTCCCGCACAGACCATCTATTTGTGTGTTCACAAATAGTTGTTTCGAATCTGTGTGTTTGTCCATGTAAAGTTTATGTTTGTAAAACATCCTTACAACACATGATAATGTTATCCTAAGAATAAGCGCAATATTTAAAAAGAAAAAAACAAAAAGAACCTTTTTTAACATGTTGGTTCCCGGTTTTTAGTTGTAGTTTTATTGTTTCAGACAGACCGGCGCTAGAACAGTTTCCCAATAGAAATTAAATAGTGATGCAGACAATACATACACATATATTTGGATGAACAAAAACGGAAAGTTCTAAATAACAGTTTAATATATGTTATTGGACTTTATGAATAAATTGAAACAACATCGGTTTTTCCTTATTTATACTTCTTACTTTTTCATCTCTTCAACTTTACGTGAAAGTTTTACTGAATATTTCTATATTCCGCAATTTGAAATAATATTATAAAAATTACTGAATCGTTCCTTTACTAATTTGCATTAATAATAAGTTTGATGTGAAAACTTTTTAAGATATAATGTTGCCGAGATATATTAATTAGCGTGAAGTTGTTTAAACTTATTAGAAGTTAACGAGTTGTGAAAAGCTTTAAGAAACAAATTAATTTTTAAAGCATGGCCTCGATTTATTGGTTCTCAGTCTTTATTTTCTGAGTCATTTAATGTTTTATTCTTTCATTATATCTCTGTCTACGCTTTGGAACTGGCGTGTATTGACAAAAAACCTATTGACAGATATTTCGAACCTTTGTGTTTATCTAAGAGCAGTAGAAGTACCTACAGGCTAGTAATAGAGAATAAATTATAATAAATGTAAGTAGTAATCGATATGTAGATATGATTTCGAAAGAGTGATAAACGGTGAGCGATAGTAATCTAAATATACATAATACATAACGTCCATAATAAATAACATATATAAATATACTGACTAGATAAATTGAATAATAAATCAGGGCTGGCACATGTGTGCACGAGGAGATGCCTGTAACTTTAAAAAAAGTCTACGAAACAATGACAGTGGACAATATTTGCTATTAATAAATTATTTTTAATATTGTTAATTTGACTTAATTCACAGGCACGGGCATATTTAGCTTGATCCGGAAATGACTTGATCTACACTTCAAATCCCTGATAAATTCCTTAATTAACGATTGTGTTTCACTTTACGTATTACAAATCAAAACAAAGAAATCCGCACATACAATTTAGCTCCTTTGTATAGACGGCAAATGATATAGCAACAGTGGTACAAAAGTTATTTACAAAATGTCTTATAGAAACAATGCATTATTTTCTTTGGTAACAATGTTTGACGACATTATTTTAAAACAGCTATTCATTAGCAAATTCCAATAATTGTCATCCCTTTATATGACAATCTGGACTACTGAGATTGCTATCGACGGGCCATCGCGTAATTCCTCAGGGCAATTAACCGAAACGAATGGTTGGTATTTAATTTATCTCATTCAATATATCATCAATTCTTTAATTTACAAATATTATTATTTTATTTTTTGTTAAAAACATAAAAAAACATAGCAATGTAGATAGGTTACTTATTTTGTAATAATTTAGTAATGCGAATATTATATACATTTTAAGAAAAGTAATTAACGGACATTATCGTATTTATTTATTTTAATTTAAACAGCCTATTTATTAAAAAAGTATCTATTTCAATTTCAACTGCCGCTCGTGACTATGGGCGAGTTCAACTCGCACTTGGCCGGTGTTTCTTCACCGGTCCATCCGTTGCCTATGAATCGATAAACATTTTCAACTTCAACGATCATTTCCTTAATGTATAGATACGATAACTGCCTAAGAAAATAAACACCTATTCCACGTGAGCCGCCAGCACAGATAGTTAATCTAGTGAAACACAAGAATGATCTAAGCTAGAATTACGAGGTAAAGGCGAACGAACGCCACCGAACTAACCGCAATACGCGTGCAGGCTCCGAAACAATCGACCGCATGGTCGCTCGGCCATATTTTACTCGGCAACGCCGTGGCGGAACAAATGGAATAACGGAAATGGTCCAACTAGATTCTAGTTTAACGTGGAATGGGGTTTCGCTGAGTCATCCGTGTGCGTGGTTCGTGAAATCATTGTTGGTAGTTATCAGCTAATAATTACATAAACTGGCCGAGTGCGAATCGGAATCGCGCACGAAGGATTCCGTACCATTATCTATGAAAACGAAAAGAGTTGAAATTTTTATATAGTATATAGTAACAGCCTATACATGTCCCACTGCTGAGCAAAGGCCTCCTCTATACAGAGGGTAGGTATCAGGGCATAGTCCACCACGCGGCCCCACTGCGGATTGGCGGACTTCACATATCTTCGAAATATATATTTTTTTAATTATTTCGAAAATATGCAGGTTTCCTCACGATGTTTTCCTTCACCGCGGAGGACGTGACAATTCAGCACTTAAAGATAAAAATTTCATTGGTGCCGGCACCGGGGATCGAACTCAGGTTGCTCGAGTATATTGAAATAAAGGCGAGCGCCCGGACACTGAGCTATCACGACTCATAGAAATTTTTACAGATGATGTATTTCTGTTGCCGCTATAATAACCAAAACAAAATAAAAAAAAATCTTTAAGTGGGGCTCCCATACAGCAAACATTTCTTACCAGCCGTTTTTATAGATAATGGTACGGAACCCATCGTGCGCGAGTCCGACTCGCGCTTGGCCGCTTTTTATGGATCGTAAATTGTCAACAAACGGCGAAAGAATCCTCTCACATTGTTTTTATTCCAATATAAGGACAGGAGAAACGAGCTTATCGGATTTCCCACAAGAAACCGAAGTTAACATGATTGATGCGATCGGATTTATTTGAACCTTCGTTCTTGTGAAAAGAAGCGGAGATTTATCTTAGTAACTTCATGGGAAATTTATTGTAAGTTTTCAATAAACGAAGTAGTTTTGGTTAGAACAAAAATACATATTCCCATTGATTGATAGTTGATCCGCTATGCTACGAAAGGCTGTATAAATAACCTTTTTACAGTAAGTGTCTCTCGATGAGTTCGACATAGACGCTCCTCTTTCCATATGAATCTCATTAATCTCACATGAATATTTACGAAGATTTCTGAGATATAAAAAAGATAAACTTCACCCGACTTCAAAAAAGGAGGAGGTTATAAATTCGACCGTATTTTTTTTATTTTTTTATCTTTGTTACCTCAGAACGTTCGAGTGAATGAACCGGTTTTGATGATTCTTTTTTTAATTTGAGAGCTGGTGCTATCTCTCAAATATCTCG